TGACGACTGTCACAGCAAGGAAATCTTCGTAAACTATATTTAATTGTGCTACCCTAAAATTACATACTAAATATAAATATTTTTGAAAACATGCAATTTGAATGAAATTTGCTTTTGTCTTTATATTTATTAAACTGAATCCGTGATACGACCAATAATTAAGAAATCTATTCTCGTTGATTTTACATGCTTGTGCTCACCTGACATAAAGAAACGCGGAAATTAAAAATTGAAGTATATGCAATTTACTTTTCTAAATGAATAGAGTTATAAGATAAAAAATATCACTGTTGTTATCTTCAAGATATTTGAAAACTGAATCGTTTATAGCAAAATTTAAAACAATGGCTAGCTTTTAACCAATCAGAAAATTCCATTTCGATTTTCGCTGATACCGCTGGAACGGCTTTTCGCAGAATGTTCTAATATCAACAGAAACCTTCCTCGTGCTTTGAACTATCTGTATGCCAAGTTTCATAGCTTTCTCTCGGATGGTTTAGGAGTCTATAGAGGACAAACAGACACACATTCACTTTTATATATATAGGTGATTCCAAATACACGTGCGACTGCCATCCTGGTTACAAAATAGGCAAAGAAAAATGCGTCGGTAAATATATGTATTTCGTAACGATAGCAATAATTTTAGCCTTAGGAAAAATAATTACTTCGTAAATACAGGAATAGAAAAAAAGGTCTTATCAAATTTCCTGAAAAAACTTGTTTACAACTAATTTCCTCGTCGCAATAGAAATATTTTTCTTATATTTCAGTTAAAACTGGTTGCGAGGATTATGGAGGGAAAGAGGCGTGTCAAAAGAAAGGAGATTTCTTTACTTGCAATAATGAAAAAATAAATGCCTCTAAATACACGTGCGACTGCATTCCTGGATACAAAAAAGAAAAAGAAATATGCATTGGTAAATATATGTGTCTCTTAACGATTTTAATATTTTCAGTTTTAGATAAAAATAGATACTTCGCAAATACAGGAATAAAAAAAAAGTCTATTCAAATTTCTAAAAAAAATGTTTTATACCTATTTTCTATAAAGAAATTGAAATATTTTCAATATATTTCAGTTAAAACTGGT